AATTGAAACGAAAAAAATGCATTAATATCAATCAAGACCATATTCTTAGCATTTTTAAGCTTTGAAGACAAATTTAAGCTTGCTTGTCACTGCCAGAAAGAATATAAAATATTAAGCACATAATAATTTAATACTACCTCTGGTCCTTAATATAAGAGTTTGTTTAACTTTTATTTTAGTCCTAAATATAAGACCCTGATCGTCTTTGTCTCTCATATTTGTTTATTTTTTCCTAATGTAGTCCTTATAATAATAGAAGTTCTGATCAATACATTTGATTAGCAAAGATATTTTAGGAAAGACAATATTTATTTATTACAAATAACTAACTTAACTAATTTTCTTAATCTATTCAAATTAATCAACTAGCTCTTATATTAAGGATTGGAAGTAGTATCAATCAAGATCAAGATCCCAACTCACTCTTCACAACACCTCATTCCAATTATAATATTTGAAAGGGATAATTAATATATAAGTCCTTATAGTTTCAACTAGTTTTTAATCAAATCCCTATAATTTTTTTTCTTTTTATCAGATCTTTATACTTTCATATATTTTTAATCAAGTCTTTATAATTTTTTTTCTTTTTATCAGGTCCTTATTGTTTTACTTTGTTTTTAATTAGGTCCTTGTAGTTTTTATTTTTTATTTTACAAATAATAACATTTTAAAAATAATAAATTATTGTAACAATCTTATGTTAATATTCTTTTAAATTTTTAGTTAAACAAATATATTATTTATTTTCAATTCAAATTTTATAATTATAAAATTCAAATTATAATAATAAATTTTTCTAAAATTAAAATATGATTATAAATAATTTATATTTAAGTATAATTATTATTCTGATTATTTATTAATTACTAAATGATTATATTAATTATTTTGTCCAATTATATAATTATTAATTTAAAAATGAAATTAATTTTAAAGAATAAATTTAATAAATAATTTTTCAAAAACTACAAAGCACCTAATTAAAAAATAAGTGAAACTAAGGACCTGATAAAAAGAAAAAAAATAGAAGGACTTAATTAAAAACACACAAAAGTAAAAAGAGCTGATAAAAAGAAAAATTTTTATAAGGACCTAATTAAAAATCAGATGAAACTATAAGGACCTGGAGATTAATTATTCCTATTTGAAAATTAATCCTATAATGTATCAACTTCCACCATAGGAACTGTTTAGTCTCGCACCACTCAGCAGCTTATTCTTTTTCAGCTGCATAACATAAATTTATTCACAAGAGATAAATAAACAAACACCTTCCATTTCTACAAGTTGAGCTAGCTAAAACTACCTTCTAATCTTGAAAGAAATATTAACCACAGAAGTATCTGAAAAAGCGTTTGACATTGACAGAGTATTTGCAACTTCCTGAAGGTATTTTGAATTTCCTTCGCCAAGTGTGAAACGCATTTGCCTATACATATCATTTACAATCAAGTCCTAGGACTTATAGAGTGCCAATATTTCAAATTGCTTGACTTATCCACGTCGGTATCGAATCTAATACCAATGAGCGCTGATGCATTTTTAATATGTATTTGCAAAGTATCATAATATTATTTTTGTAATTAATTTTTCCCAATTTTGGATAAATATCCAATACTTCTAGATTTTAATATTTTTTAAGAATTGAAATTTTATTCAAGGTTTCGATATTAATTTTTATTCTTGATATCTTTTTATCATTTTGTTTTAACATAAATGATTGGTTTTTCTTTAGGTTTCTTATGTTTTCACAAATAAATATTTTATTTATTTGTTTGGATCTTTTATTATTTCATTTTAAAAATTTTCGGCTTGATTTAAAATAATCACATAGCTAGGATTAAAAGTTTTTAATTAATTTTTCTTGTACTTTTTTCTTATATATTCTCCTTATCAAAATTTTATAATCCTACTTCTTCTAATTTTTAAATTGAGCTCATTAAATTTTTTCTCCCATCCAATTCTCTCTTACCAAAGATAGAGTAAATATTCTTTCTTATTCATTAGTTTATGAAGTATCATTTTTTTTAATGGATCAAAGTTTCTTAAATTTCTTTGAAAGCTCTGGGGCATATTATCTATTTTTCAAAATTTTTAATATTTCTCTGGTCCTAAATATAAAACCCGTATACACACTAGTATAATGGCCTTCTATTTAAGATCGAAGGAGTACATGTTTTGAAAGCCATAGTTGTATTTAATTTTGATGTATATATATAATTACAATATATTAAAATAAAATCAACTTAAAACTTTGTGATGGAAAGCTGATTTCCATTCTTACAGTTAAAACCCTTCAAAACAATAACTTCTACTATAAGGAAGCAATGGCACAATGATTGAGAGGGTGATAGGAGAAGGGCGTCACTGATTTGTCCATTCTATTTATTTTTATTCTTGAAGTAATTATATTAGTTTTAATATTATTATAGTTTTAATTTGTCATTTTTTAACTGTAGTCTTTTTACCAAGTTATTTTTTAAATGTTTACTCTCTTCGGTCTTTTTCTTAATACTTGCAACATTTTTATTAAAATTAAAGAGAGGTCACTAATTCATTAAAATTTTTAATATTAACCAAATGAAAAAGTGGTAATATAATAACGAAATGAAAGAAAACAACAACATTAAAAAGTGGTAATATAATAAGTACTTCATCTAATACCTTATAATAAGAACCAAGCACCCCTCATAAAGGAGTTTTTTTTTGTTATTATATTGTTTTAATAAATACTTAAAATGATAATAAATTTAACCGTTATCAATAACCTTTGGCTTCTAACAAAATGTTTGTATTCTGTCCGGGCATAGATCTGGAACTTCATATTTTAATGACATTCAAGTTTGTACGAAACTTGTGCGTACCAATTCTGGGTCTCATCATTTTTTTCCCTTTTTATTTTTCAATTTTGATTCCTTTATCATTATTGTTTTTTTTAAAAAGTTTTTGGGGCTTGCACGACATCAATATCTTATTTTATCTCGATTTTAAATCAATGTTTATTTTAAGACCACAAAATTGCTGCTTAGAGGATTACTTGTTTATCTTGTGGCCAAAAAAACAAAATTTCTTATTTGTCATTACTACTTGGCACTTCTAGACTCTTCACCTGAATTTGCTCTCCATTTTTAGATGTATTTGTGAGCAATTTTTTTATTAATTAAAATATGAATTGAAATATTAAGGTCAAGTACTATTCTGATGGTGATATATTATTCAAAGACGAGAAGAAAACAGCCAATGTCTTTTATATTCTTGTCTAATTTTGAGATATGCTTATTGGAAAGAAACTATGAACCAGGCTATAAAGCTTTCTTTTTGTCTATAAATTATTTAATGGAGTTCGTTTCTATGTACACGCCTTAAATTTTTCGGTCATTGGATAAATAAGCAATAATTATTTTTAATGATTTAATCACTGAAAACAGCTTTTCTTTGTGTCTTATTTAGTATATGTATATTTCGAAAATTTTATTTATTGTCAATTTCTTTTTTGTTTCTGCTTTTATGATTGTAACTTAGCTAGCTCTCTATTTTTCGTATTCAATTCGGCCACTCATAAATATAACTCATGTTAGGTCTGTGACTTGTTTGATATTTTTGGCTGATTGTAATTTGTTTGATTCCATCTCATTTAAAATATTTTAAGTTTAAATGCTCTCACGCTATAAAATTAAATAAATTGCAAATGCAAAGATAAAAAATACAAAATATTTTTAATGCATAATTATATGACTGTTGATCCATGTTCATGAGATTCGACGGGTTTTTACGTTGGCTGTCGAGGGCCTAACACAACCCTCCTCCTTTATCCGGGCTTGGGACCGGCTATACAACATAGACGGAGTTGCATAATTATATGACTGTAAACAAATTAATTTGATTAACAAAAAGTTAGCTTGATTTTTTATTCATATTTTATTTCGGTCCAATCACTATTGTTTTAAACAAATATTACTCTTTTCATCCTTAATATCCAACCTAGTTTATGGTTGAGTTAGTTCTAAATATAATTTTTTTTGGACAAAACTAAATATAAAATCTTAATATATTTTTCTACCGTAATTATTGCATCTATTTCTTAATATAAGAGCTAAATAATTAATTTATAAATATTACAAATTAGTTAAATTAATTATTTTGTGACAAATCTATGTTAGTTTTTCTTAAAAACTTTTTTTAATAATGTACATTAAAACTACTCTGAATGAAAACCCCTTTATATGTTTACAATCAATAGGAATATGTTAAAAAAATTATAAATTTGAAAGATAAAATAAAATTAAATATTATATTTTGAACAAAAAAAACCTTGTCTAGCTTTTTCATTTAAGACCACAGATAGTACCGTTTTTTCCCCTCAAACAAATTTACTTAGCATATAAATGAATATATATAATCTAATGTGATATAAAAATACTTAAAAAGGAAATCACATCATATTTGTAATAATAAACCGATTTATTTGAATTTTTTAATCTAAGTAGATATTATACTAACGACGGAAGCTAGCAGTATTTATCAATTATACCTCCCAACTAGTTCACATTTAATTATTGTGAGGTTTAAATAGAGATAATTCTCTTAAAAAAAGTTAAAGATACCTCATGATTAGTTGAAAAGAAAGAGATAGCTGTCATAATTTAATTTTATATCATTCATAAGATTGTCTATCAGTCTATTCAATTGTTATTCGTTACATACTATTTTGAGATTAAGATTAGGCTTAAAAACAGAAATATGTCACAAAATAGAATATTTTTGGTTAATTAGTTTCTTTGATTGTTAGACTTAATAATATTTTCTGAATAAAATAAAATCATAACTATAATTATAATTATAGTGCTAATAAAAATATACTATTAATTGAGTGATAACAACGAGAAATTATTATTGCCCGTAGCCTATTGAAGCATAAGAAGTTATTAGGATATGTTTAAAAAACCATAGAAAGTGAACTGCTTGAACTGATTTGAGGGTAACTGATTTCAGAGTAATTCATAATTAGCCCTAAAATAAATAAATAAATATAAATATAATATGCTAATAAGTAGCTTCTCAATCAATCATCTGCCCCCCAAAACAAAAATCTGAGTCTTCTTATTTTCTCTCTTCGCCTTCCTCAAGAAACCAAAGTCTGTTTTTCTCAGTTTCTCTTCTTCCTTTCACACACCAAACCCAATGGAATCCCCTTTTCTTCTTTCGTTTCTCTTTCATGGTAATTGTTAATAATTATTAATCATTATTTGTACACCCTCCTCTTCTCCTCCTCCTCCTCCTCTGAACCCAGATGATTCAAGCCATTCGATTCCATTTTAGCCTACTCACATGGGTTCAACTGATTTCACTTATATTCGTGCTACGCGCCACCGCGCAATCCGCCGTGCAGCCGGTGCCGTCGTTCGCATCCCACCAGAACTGGGACCCTTCAATCGCTGCCATGGTGGGCGCCCTGTTCTGCGCCTTCCTATTCATGGGCTTCTTCTCCGTCTACCTCCGCCGTTGCTCTGACGAGGAAGCCGCCACCGTCCCAACGGGAGACTGGTCGTGCTCGTGCTCGGAGGGCATTGAACGGAAAGTCCTGGACACGCTCCCCATCCTTGTCTATTCCACCATTAAAGACCTCAAAATGGGTAAAGGAGCACTTGAATGTGCGGTGTGCTTGAACGAGTTCAAAGATTACGAAACTCTCCGGTTACTTCCCAAATGCAACCACGTTTTCCATCCTTCTTGTATCGAAGCCTGGCTCTCTTCTCACGTGACTTGTCCTGTTTGTCGGGAAAAGGTGAATCCAGATTACGATCAGGTGGCCATAACGGTTCCGCCGCAATTGAACGTTATCGAGAGCAATGATAATCGCAGAGACGAACATGAGGAAGATGAAAAAGATGAGGGTCCTGAAGGAAAAAGTGGTGCAAACAGCGGCGAGGTTGGGGACGTCGCGGTGGCCGTTGGAGGAGATCGATTGAGGTCGGGGAGGGTGAAGGAGTTGAGGAGGTCGAATTCAACGGGACATTGTGAGGTGGAGAGTTTTACGTTGAGGTTGCCGGAAGATGTTCGGAAGTATATTCTGTTGAACCATCATGGGTCGATGCGGCGGTCGGCGAGTTACAACGTGGGAGGGAGTCCGAGGAAAGGTTTGTGTCGGAATGAGACGCAGGTTATGAAGAAGGATAAGGAGGATCTTATTCATTCTCCGCCATTAGTTCCATGAAAGTCTCTGGAACGAAGCAAGAATTGAAGGAAACAAACAGATATGGCTTATTAGGATTTGATCCATTACATTTTAATTTCAGCAGACACAAGTGTGGAAGATATTACAAATTTTTCATCAGCTTCATGTGGGATGGACTCCGAGTCAACTCGGTCTTCTTTTTGGCGACATACAGCGTTGGCGTGCAATGGCAGAGAACACTATAGCCCTGTGACCGAGTCCACTCGGTTTTCTTTTCTTTTCTTTTCTCCCCCCCCCCTCCCCCTTTACTAATAATCTAACTTCCTGGGAGGGTGAAAATTTCATCGGCTTGATGCATATGGACTATATATAGCAGGGTAGTATTTTCACAATACTAATGACAATATATATTTTTCCCCAAATTTATAAGTTACAACCATGTTCATGTCTATGGCTGCCAAGTGCCATCTGATCTGTCAAACAACCACAGTATGGCATTAGAATAAGATTACAGGACGTAAATATTTTTCAATGGGTATACTCTAAAATTTAAAAAAAAAAACAGTGACATAACAAAGGCATCCAAAGTGTTAAATGGCGGTCCCTTTCTTTCATTACACAGATAATGTGGTTGCTAGTAATGTCGATACATCAATCATGGGTTACAGAGATGAGGATGATATGATGTTTATCGTCAAAGTTTCTGATGGAGCTTCTTGACCTTTCCGGTCCAGCAATGACCTCGAACCGAGATTTTTCTGAGGTGGGGGGGCCAACCACTGAGAATGATATTGAACAGTGTTATGCTGATTGTTGGGAAGGAACAGAGCCTAATATGATGGGTTTTTGTCTTTCCTTTGCTTCTACTTTTGGTTCTGGAAAATGAAGGGAAAGGATAACATAACATGAGTGGCCAGCCTTACATGTCACAATACAAGGATGGGCCAATGGGGACAAAAAAAGGAAAAATCTTAATGCAACTTGATAAACACCGACCTACTAAATTGTGCCATAGAATTATCACGCCATTGAGAAACACTTTTAGAAAACAAGTCAACTATGCAATTTTGAGTTGTGACATATTTTCTTGGTAGGTTTTATTAAAGAACTTGATGATAAGTACCTAAAGATTTTTTTTTTTTTAAAGGACAAAAGTGAGTACTTAAAGAATTAGGTCATAAGTTCTTTTCAACTATTTGTGTCTAGTAAAACCACCGCTTCCCCAACGCATATACCGACATCCAAGTCCTAATATGATTGTAAACCTGCTAAAATATAAAATGGAAAAGGTTTCATACTTTATTAGGTTAAACAAGATGTTAGTACTGTGCTTTATATATCGATCTATTGATATGTTAATTATGGCTTCTAGCATCTACAATCAAGTCAGTTGATACAAGTTTGCATATATTTTTATTACATCAAAATAAAAACTGAACACAACCCAGACCTTACTCTATCATTTACCACCTAAACTAGCTCAGAGTGGTCAAATCTGCATATATTTGTAAATCCATTATTCTCAATCAGAAGCAAATCATTGAAACCAAAAATCTGAATGTATAACAGACGGGACTAATAATTTCCTCACAGCCATGCAAACGCTCATGTTTAATATATAAAGAATGACGTATATGAAGGGTTTTAGATGAAATTAAGATTCCCCTAGAGATTATTTAAATCATAACAGTAAACATGAAGTAGCTGGCTGTAAGCTGTTATCAGAGAAGCTTAAAAGAAATGGGAAACATTGTATCGCTTTACTCAAAGAATCTTATGATTTCTTCTTTCTCCACCATGATGAGTGAAGTAAAAGTTATTCTCAGGAGGAAAAAAAAAAGTATAAGTTATTCCGCATGGGACAGTCTTTAGAGGCCAAGAGCTTTTATGTAGGGGAGAATTAAAGTTCAACATCAAAATTAAGTTAGCAAGAGTAATGCCAATGAAGCGGGTGCAATTTTTGAAAATGAAATTGAGATTCAAGAGAACAGTATCCTATAAGATATATCTGGATCGATCAAAGATGACAATTGATTAGGTTTTGGACTTTAGTTAACAAAGATTTATGATGCCAAATGATAAACTTAAAAATTGTGCATCATGCCCCACGCACAATAGCTTCATATGAAACAGTTGGTTACTTGTAGATGGGGTTCCCAAAAGTGGATAAATAAACAAATAAAAGAAGCACTGCAAATTGCGCAAGTAGGTTATGCTGAGAAGGACGTGTTCTAACAGATGTAGAAATTCTTACAAAAATTAGAATAGCACTACGGAAGCAGAGAGGAAACATCCGTACACGCAGGGATGGAAATATTTTCCCCAAGGAAGAGATTAAGATTATAATTGATTTGATAAGTGGGAAGGGATAAGATTAAGATGAGGCAGTAGGAGGAAATTGATACGGAACATATATCAATTGGTCAGAGAAAAAAATAGTGGAAAAGGTTTCAAAAGAGACGAATATAAAATCATGTAGTGAAAGAGAATCTAAATCAAATATTCTAATTTACTTTAAACCTATTAAATATATTACCCACTACAAATTATTCAAACTAATAAGTTTCCTCCTGTTAACGCGCCTCAGAAAGGACAGGGCACCACACTGATTTAAGTTTAGTGAGTTAAAACTTCTAATCATATCATTATTAGGCTTCACGCCCGAGCAAAATTAATCGAATGCACCCAATTCCATCATAAGGGTTAAGCTACATTATTAATTATTCAAATTTTATATGTATTGATATAGATTAGATCAAATTTATTCTTGTTCAGTTTGAGTGTTGATGCGCCCAACGTTCTATACGGTGTAAGACAGATGAAAGGAAGATAAGCGAACAGCAAGAAACCAATCAGATGCTTTGCTTCAAAATGTCTCGTAAGCTTAAATGTACAAGAAAAATTCCAAAAAGAACGAAATCAGGGAACACTTACTCGAAATGAGGGCTTTCGGTCTGGTTTTGAACAAAATCCTATGCCTAATGATTCCAACAACTTGAAGCTCCACGTTACAGTTATTATCACAGCCGCTGTCTGCGTCCGACTGTTTGATTTTCTTCAGCACCAGAATTGGCTTCTTCAAGGGAACTTTCGATCCTGTCAGTTCATGGTACCCAATAGTCAAAGTATAGACTTGCTGAACAAAAAAAGGAAAAACATAAAAAGGAGATCAAGTTAGAAATTAACCCTATAAATCAATTACAGATTCGGATTCGAAATTAGAAATCGAAGCGACCTGAGAAGAAGGGCGGCAGAGAACGCCGATCTCAAGGTTCTGGAGGCGATCTTGAAACGAAGGCTGCGTTTCAACAACGCCTTGAAGTTCAACGATGGCCCATTCTGAACAGTCTCCTTCCCCACAGTTGCATTTCACGCGAATCTGCATTTTTCCTTTCGATTCTGTTTCTGTGTCTGGAGCCGGAGATTCTCAGATCATAGTGAGCAAAAGAGATAGATCGATCCGGGTAGGGTCCTCTGGTGGCGGCAAAGCCGATGAAGTTTCCCGCCTAATTGAAATTCCAGGCCATGGGAACGGTGTCGTTTCGTGTGGAGGGTGCGGTAAGGCGACTCATGGCCAGCTGACAGGCACTGACTCGGCCCATATATGATGTACGTGACATTAAGTCTGAATTTGGCCCAACTTTAAGATTCCAAAATATTAAGAAAATCAAATTTTTAGATGATAAAAATTTATAAATATAAATAATTAATATTAAATAATGATAAAAAAAATATTGAATATAAAATTTTGGGCAAAATATTGCGTATATTTTTTGTGGGGGAAAAAAAAGAAGAAATACCTTTCGTTCGTAGATGACAGAGGAAGCATATAGGAATAATTTCTTAATTACCTATCATTAAAATTTCAAATGCAACAAAAGTTTTCAGGCAAAAAAGAAACGGAATTTCAATGAAAATTCTGGCTATAAATTTTGACCAACCAAAATTAAGTTAAAGATACAATTTTTATACAAAAAAAAGTATGCTTCACTATTTTTGGCTATTTTTACTAAAAGCTAGAAGAAAGTCCCATTCAGTACCTATATTCTTAGAAACAACTGCAGTGCATAATTTGTGAATTATAACGTTTCTTATCGAATTTATATTTATTGATAATGATTTGGTGCAAAATTACAAGGTGATTTATTTATCTATAAGTTTTTTAGTGGACACGCTGATATTTGTATTCGTTTAGTATTTTTCATTAAAAAAAAAGTGTATGTTTAGTTTTGATTACATCAAATAGTAAAGCAAAAAAGTTTGTATGATAATAATCTTACATATGCTATCAATATTTATATCATATTTAATTGCTTGAAAATAACTTGGATATGGAGTGAACGAGTTTATATATAAAGAGAAGATGATTTGAAGAAGAGGAAGAGAATTTGGGAGAGATCTTGCTCAAAGAATGGAAGAACAAGAAGTCTAATAAAGAAGATAAGCTTGAGAAGGTTTAATCTTGAGTTTCTTAGACTTTGATTTTATATTTATTGTAAAAGAGCAAGATGAGATGAGCTTTTCAAGTGTTAAAAATGATTTTCTCTTGTTTTTGAAATGATTTAGAAGCTGAGCTTTTAAACTAAACTTGAGTAAATGTTTTATTGAACTTTATTCTCCTTCTACTATTGTGACAGTACTATGTTTTACTCGTTTACAATTGTTCATTATTTTTGATTGAGTTTAATGTATCACCACTAATAGTAGTAACTAATCTTCTCGCATTATAGACTTTTCAAAGAAGTTTTAGTGTTGATCACATGACTCTTTTTTCACGCACACCGTTAGGAATCAAGCTCCCAACTAGATGCTTAATACAATTATTCATTATTATTCGTTTACTAAACAAAGATCAGGGGAAAAATTATTTTAAAAAAAATCAGGGGTGAAATTACACCATAAAAAAATTAGGGGAAAATTATACCTAAAAAATAAAATCAAGATAAAATTGCACATTTACATTTTTTTTTCCCGGGAAAATGACAAAAATGATAAGTAAACTTGATAATGCCACAAACATCACCTGAATAAGGAAAACTCTGATTTGATCACTTGAGACCAAAATAGGATTTTCATGTTAAATACAAAGACCAAACTGCCCTCATCAAATACAAAACCCGAACACCACAAATTGCTGCATCAGACAAAGATAAACTGATTTAGTTTATTTTACTAACATAACTGAAAGTTTCAAGCTTTTTAACATTCAACAGGATCCTTGTGCTTTTCTCCCAAGATCAGTGGCTCTCCTAAAAACCTCTTGGTAACAATTTATCATGGGCCAGCATTTTTAATGCAATAAATTGCTATAAAATTCTTTGTCTTTCAATAAATGAGCAATTATTTTTTCACTGATTAATGTGGTTATAAAAAGCCAATGCATACCGATACGTGTCCAACAGTATATTAAATAATACTACTTCCAGTTCTAATTATAAGACCTTATTTATAGTCTATAAATGAGATCTTATAATTAGGACCGGAGATAATAATTTAATTAAACTATTATATTGTTTGTGTTGTTGGTTCAAATAATCATTTGAAATCATATAGTTTGATAAACTAGGAATCCATAAAATTGAATCACACTCTCAAAGATTGAAACCATATGTATTTACTTTATTAGAATAGAATCAAACTAAAAATAATAAGAGAATGAGAACTTAAATTTACTAGAATACCATTTTATATGATGATTTTTTTTTTCTACGCATATTGTTGGCTTTGATGCCAAGGGTACATCTTGTGCCACTAGACCCAACGATCATCGGCGCATTTTTATAAATTTTTTTCTGATTCACATTTATATGAAATTAATAAGGAGAAAGACAAGAAAATAATTGGAGAGCTTCTTACCATATGGGATTAGATTGTTATCTCAACATGCTTACCACATGAAGAATCACTATATACTACCTTTAATGTTTAATATAAAAATTAGATAACTAATTTAAATATATTAAAAAATCAGTTATATTAATTATTTATAATAAATAAGTATTGGTTTTGCGAAAATATTCTTGTCAATCACGTACAATGAAATTACCCCTTACTGGAATTTCTTGATAATGAGCTATTAATAGAGATATTTGTTTAGGGAAAAAATTATAAAGTTGAGGGAAAAAAAGTGAATTAATGTCGTATATTTAGAATTAAAATAAATTATTTGTTTAGTTTTTATATTAAGCACTTGAGGTACTCCTCTAGTCCTTAATATAAATTATTGAGTTGATTTTAACTTTTTTTTTCATGTTTATTAATTTTTCTTAAATTACTCCTATTAATACCCTCTCAAGCATAATAAAATAAGAGAAAAATGAAGCATATTAAAGAAGATGATAATGATGTTTTAAAAAAAATATGTCATATTTCTAATAATTAACTAACATGTCATACTTTTTATAATTAACTAACTTATTTATCTTTCTTAATCTAATGAAGTTAGTTAAACAGGTCTTATATTAAGAACTGAAAAAGTATTATTTTAAACTATGACCAGAATTATTTTTTCTCAAATTCTATCCAACTGAATTTGATTGCATCTAACTCATCGCAATAAGGGTTTTGGGCAATGTTTTAAAACCCAAACCGGTCAAACCGTTGGTTGGAAAACTTTGCGGCTCATTTCAAACATTTGGACCGTTTGAGGAGTTAAGCCGAATTGAACCATTTTGAACTGGCTTTTGAGAGGGAAGCCGGAGATGGGTCGGGAACTGGGATGAGTTTTGAAGAGCCGGCTGGGTTAAAACTGAGAGTGGGTTAATAACAGGGAATTGGGAAAAGAAGAGAGACACAAGCCAAAAAAAAAAAGGCCAGAAAGAAATTAAAAGAGGAAGCATATGAACGAGAAGAGAAGAAAGAAAATGAAAAGAAAAAAGAATCAATCATTTGGTATGGCATGGAAGTTCAGCAAGGGAAGCTGAAAGGAAAGTGAGGGGAGTTTGAAATTGTTAAAGAATGAATTAGTGCTGATAGATGAAAGATTTGACATAAGAGGTAATATCCAACGGCCAATAAAAAGTTGTCCTGGGATATAAAAACATTTACGCCTTGAAAGGATTGAGAGTACAGGGATTCATCTTGAAAGCCGGAGAGCATTAAGCATTCTTTTTAATTTTACCCATCTATTTTTCAATGGTGACCAGTGCACTTTTTTCCTTACAATTTCTATCGTAGATTTATAGTTATTAATTACTCCCCGGTCCTTAATATAAGACTCATTTAATTAATTTAATTAGATTAAAAAAATTAGTAAGTTAGTTAATTATAAGAAATATGACACGTTTTTCTAAAATACCATAATCATATTTCTTAATACCCACCTTTATCTTCTACTTGATTATGGTTGAAAGAGTATCCATAGGGTAATTTAGAGATAATTGATAAATATGAGAAATGGGTCTTATATTTAGGACCAAAACCAACTCACCAATTGGATCCTATATTAAGGACCGGAGGAGTATTTATTATTTATCTTTAATTATAAATCAATTTATTTAAAAAATAAAAAAAGAGGTTATCATTATGACAAAATGAACAAAAAACTATCAAATATTTATAATATTTTTAGTGTATCTTTATATATTACACATATGATTATTTTTATTATTTTTTACTTAGTTATTAGGTTACTAATCTGACCAAACAATCTGATCGGTTGAACCATGACTCGTTAATTTTTCTGGCTTGATATTCGATCTGACTTTTAAAACATCAATTTTGAGACTGGATCAGGATATAACGTTAAAATGACAGTTATACCCTTTTAAGGTACTTTTGCGGATTAAAATAGGGAAATAAAAAAAATATTATTAATGCAACCGTACGACTCAGCTCATGGTGGGAAGTTTGAGCCCATTATGGAGACAACATTAAAACTGTATATACGTTCATATATTTTTTAAATTAAATCATTATTTTTTTAATTATAATTTATCTTAAATATACTCACACATGCAAAGGTATAAGTTGGGTTCGAATTTAGAATGTCATCCAAATGTATATATTAGATAACATTGCCACTTAGACAACTTGGTATTGACAAACTAATTTTTTTTATTAAATCACACGCTATCCGCCACCATATAATATTAAATTATTTCTCAAATTCTTTCAATTTTTATTTTTATTAAATATTCCAAACAAAAAAAATTCACATCTTTCCCAACAAGGCCTAACTTGGAAATCGAGATAAATAGCCATAGAAGGCAATCCTAACGGCCAAGAAGAAAAAGATGCACAAAAGAATGATAGATAAAAATATATTTAATGAAATTATAACGTACCACTATATTACGAGATTTATCTAGAATGATTTAAAAAGCCATATGTATTTTGAAACAAAAAAACACTATCAAACATTTTCCAGAAGAAAATGGAACTTTGACCCTAATGGTAAATTTATCTGTTGTTTTAGCCATAGGAATGTGATATAATAACTTGGAAAGATAGTTTTCTTACGTAAAGCACACCAAACACAAGGCGGCATTTCTAGGCTTATCCAAAGGATCAAATTTTAATGATTTTTTGGGGTCTCTTCTTAATTGAGAATTATTTTAATCAGTTCTACATTAATTTATAATGTTTGACGTGGCCCTGAAAGCAAATTTTGTTAATCGTTGTGATTATGATTACGGAAAATAAATATATGACCAACAAATATTTAACATATGATTTCAGCATCAACCATAAAACACGACATGAAACTTGCCACTGGGCTTTGTTTATTTTTAACTAAGTGTTTTAAAATTAATTTGTCAACGATTTTCGTTTATGCAGAGGTTTTTTTTTAATTGAGCATAGGTAGACCTGGGAAAGCGGGCTGGCGGTGCGGATACGGGCCAGCCCGCCGCGATGCGGGCCAAATGCGGTGCGGGCTGAAGTAGCCCGCACCTTGGCGGGCTGGCATTTTGCCAGCCCGCCTAAATTTTTTTTTTTAAATTTATTATATTAGTATGAGTTAAGCCTAATTTGAAATGTTGAAATTAGGCTCCGAGTTTTAAACTTGAGTAATGGATCCTAATAAAAAAAAAGAGAATTAATTTATAATATTATAAGAAATTTAAGAAAAACTAACATATATATTTTTTATAAATAATTAATTTAACTAGTTTTCTTATCCAAATTAATTAAGTAAATCTTTTATGTGTGTGTATGTATGACTATATGAAAATCACATATTTATCTAATCTTATGAAGCCGTGCATACTAACGACAAATAGATATAAAAATAAAAGATGGATAGTGCTCTTCATATAACCATACATATATATGAAGTGCTTAATTAATTATATATATAATGATATGATGAGGTAATGTCCATATGAAATTTAATGGTCAAAATCATCTAACTATATTATATAATGTATTAAAAATCAGAAAAAGTAAAAAAAAAAAAAAAAAGCGAGCTGGCGGGCTGGCCCGCCAACCAGCGGGCTAGCCCGCGGCGGAGCGGGCCAAAAGCGGTGCGGGCTAGAGTAGCCCGCACCGTGGCGGGCTGGGAAAACATCAACCCAAGCCCGCCTTTTTTGGCGGGCTCGCGGGCTGGGCTCGCGGGCCCAGCTCGTATTACCGGCTCTAAGCATAGGTGCCTCCCCGTTAGATACAATCATCTTCGATGCACAATCAAATACTAAATATGGGCACATATTTTAATTAGAATTTAAATCTTAATTTATCACATTATAAGAAACTAATAAGAAGCTGATGTTGATTTTTCAAAAAAATAATTTTTTATTTAAAAATAATTAATTAAAAATTTTAAATTTGGATTGTTGAAACTATATGGGGCATTGAAAATCTCATCATACTATGATAAGCATTAAAACTCATTCCCGCGATGAAGCTTAACTTATTGCGTTTGCGTAAAGTACCGACTATGTTATTTTATATTCCTTGATAAAATTAATAATTAATTAATTTTTTAAAAGTCATATTGAGGTAAGAACGAGCTAAACCTCATGAGCATACTCATCGACAATTTTCTCCGCACACAACACTCAAAATTGAGACCTTTTTGCTTCAAGGTAAACAAGTATAAAACTAAAATCATTTTATAGATAGTTTTCTCCAATTATATTTACTATTCAACTATTAGAACTTGAAGGGTTTCATAAGAAATATGCTTATTATTACTGAATAGGTCTATTATAGATGATTTCATGAAAAATTCAAAATAAGATACTCTTTCCGTCCTTAATATAAAACCTAATTAATTAATTTGACTATATGAAGAATGCTAGTTAAATTAGTTCATATAATATATATTTTTTAAATACCATAATTATCTTCCTTAATTCCTTTCCTCCCTTTTGTACTTGATTATTGTTGAGAGCATATAATAATTTGGAAAAAAAAAATTGATATGCATATGAAATAGGTCTTATATATATAATTAATATTAACTTTCAAATTAGGTCTTATATAAAGATTGGAGGAGTATATAAGTGACGGGATCAACAGCTAACTACCCCAGTAACAACACCACTCATCATATTTGAATGGTCTCTGATTCATAATCTGACATTAATATGTTTGTGCATGTTAGTGTTTAATTGTATCAAGTGTGTGTGTGTGTGAGAGAGAGAGAGAGGGGGGGGGGGAGGCGCTGATTTATCTCTCAATTTATGCCAACATGCAACGACGATGTCATTCCATTTAGTTAGCTGTGTTAGAATGAACAAAACCAGAGGCTTCTCTAAAACCCGCGTACCGCTTTTGGTTTTTGTCCCATTATCCCCCATCCAAAGTCAGCACTGGTTTGATTATAAGTACACACAGATGCTCCTCTTACCCTAGATATAAAAGTTAGGTTAAAAAAAGAGTTGTTTTAGCAGATTCTATTCACTTTATTTTATAAGTTAATAATTATTCCACTAAAACCTTTTGTTGGTTATAAATATCAAGTAGATTTTTTCATCATCATAATATTTTCTAATGCATATAATAAAAAAATATTCTAAAGAATTGACACACATTTTTTTAAAAAAATAATTAATCTAATTAATTTTTAGATAGAAAAAGTAATTTTGTTTTGGTTCTGAAAAAAAAATGGAAAAATTGCAAATAAAGACCCCTCAATATATAAAATAGCAATCAGGGACTCTGAATTTGAGAAATTGCTCACAAGGACCTGGTCCTAATTTGCAATTATGAAATCATGGCCAAATTACCAAAATACCCCTCTTTAATTTTTTTTTCAAAAAAGAACACCACTGCCTCGTCGGAGCTCCGCCACCTTGGCTGCCAACCGCCAGAGCTCCGATGCCTGCGGCCGGATTCCGGCCATTGCCGGTGGCATTCCTTTATTTTTTTTTTGAAACTTTTTTTTTTAAATTTGGGGGAAGTGAGGTTGGGGGGATTTGATCCCCCAACCTCATGCTTCCCAAAATTAGGAATGACTATTGAGCCAACAAATTTTTGCTAACATTATAATACAAAAAAAAATATAAGTTAACTCATTTATTCTTATTCCAGGTGATAACAATAATACATTTGAAAATAACAAGTTCTGATTATAAATAACAAGTCTGGGATTAAAATTTAACAACACGTTTTTTTTATAACAACACACTCTGTTGCAGGTGATAACAACAATACATTTGAAAATAACAAGTTCTGATTATAAAATAACAAGTCTGGGATTAAAATTTAACAACATGTTTTTTTTATAACAACACACTCTGTTTTAGGTGATAACAACAATATATTTGGAAATAACAGGTTCTGATTATAAAATAACAAGTCTGGAATTAAAATTTAACAGCACCTTTTTTTTTATATAACAATACATTTTATTCCAAGTGATAACAACAATACATTTGAAAATAACAAGTTCTGATTATAAAATAAGAAATCTAAAATTAAAATTTAACAACACATTTTTTTGTAACAATTAATTATTTTATACTTTTGAAAAATAAATTATTTATAACTTATAAAAAGTATTTTAAATCTATTTAATTTGCTAAAAAAATAATTTTTATCTCCAATTTATAATCAAAACTTGAAGTGTAATTTATTATAGATTAAAAATACTTTTTTATTGTTCAAATTTATAAATAAAATTTAGGGAAAATGACAACACACTTTTTTATTTTTTTTTTCAAAATTTTTAATCTATATATCTATACAACTCATTATAAATCAAACTACTTCTTATAAATTATAAATAGTACAATTTATTGTAGATTAAAAATACTTTTTGATTGCTTAAATTTATAAATGAAATTTATCTCTAATTTATAATTAAAAATACTATTTTTTTCTTTAAATATAAAAACTATTTTTAATATTTAAAGAATGAAATAATAAATTATACTATAATATTTAAATACTTAATAATAAATTTTAATATTTAAAGAATGAAATAATATAAAAATTTATACTATGATTTATAGATTAAAAATACTTAATTATAAATGCTTTATAATTTATAAGAAGTAGTTTGATTTATAATGAGTTGTATAGATATATAGATTAAAAAGTATTTTTTAGAAAAAATAAATATATTAAAATATTTTTATAAGTTATAAATAATTTATTTTCCAAAATCATAATATAAATAATTTTCTAAAAAATCGTGTTGTTAAATTTTAATTCCATACTTGTTATTTTATAATCAGAACGTGTTATTTCTAAATGTATTGTTGTTATCACCTGAAACAGAGTGTGTTGTTATAAAAAAAACGTGTTGTTAAATTTTAATCCCAGACTTGTTATTTTATAATCAGAACTTGTTATTTTCAAATGTATTGTTGTTATCACCTGTAACAGAGTGTGTTGTTATAAAAAAAACGTATTGTTAAATTTTAATCCCAGACTTGTTATTTTATAATCAGAACTTGTTATTTTCAAATGTATTATTGTTATCACCTGGAACAAGAGTAAATGAGTTAACTTATTTTTTTTTTTTGTATTATAATGTTAGCAAAAATTTGTTGGCTCAATGGTCATTCCTAATTTTGGGAAGCATGAGGTTGGGGGATCAACACTTCCCCCAATTTAAAAAAAAAAACAGTTTCAAAAAAAAAAAAGGAAGGCCGCCGGCATCGGAGCTCCGGCGGCTGGCAGCCGAGGTGGCGGAGCTCCGGCGAGGCAGTGGTGTTCGTTTTTGAAAAAAAAATTAAAGAGGGGTATTTTGATAATTTGGCCATGATTTCATAATTGCAAATTGAGATCGGATCCTTGTGAGCAATTTCTCAAATTCAGTATCCCTAATTGCTATTTTACATATTGAGGGGTCTTTATTTGTAATTTCTTAAGAAAAATCGTGGTTCTATCCTCTTCTCCTATATAAATAAAGGCTCCCACAATTCCACAAATCATCCTTTTCACCCGCAGGTTTCCGACAATATCCAAATGATCAAGAGAATCGCACTCTCACACATCCTCGTCTTCTTCCTTCTCTCGTCGGCAATCGACGCCCAGTCAAGTTCGCCACCGGCGGCGGCTTCTCCTAATGCCACACTCCCAAACAGGATCCCATCATTCGATCCCACTGTTGCAGCTCTTGTTTGCGTCTTCTTGTTTGTCGGCTGCTTCTCCATCTACCTCCGCCACTGCTCCAACATCTACGCCCGCCGGAGTGACAGAACCGCTAATTTTGACTCAACTGGACCTCAAGGTATCGACCCAAAATTACTCGACACCTTCCCAATCCTCCCGTGCTCCGCCGTTAAACAACTTAGATTTGGGAGTGCGACGCCGGACTGTGCCGTGTGCTTGGCCGAATTCGACCACCACGATAAGCTCCGATTGCTTCCGAAATGTAACCACGTGTTTCACTCTGAATGCATCGACGCGTGGTTGGCCTCCCACGTGACTTGCCCCGTGTGTCGCACGAGGTTGAAGCCGGCGGAGGAGCACCACCATGGTGAAAACGAAGTCGTGATAGTAATTCCGAATGAGGTTATAAATGAACGCCGCGTGTTCGATGGAAGTTCTGTAAGTGGAACGGAGGCTGATTTAGGAGACAGAAGAAGTTTGGGAAGGTGTCATTCAACGGGTCACTCTGTCGGATTGGGTGAAATCGGAATGAAGGACACGGAGAGGTATGATCTCAGGTCGGAGGATTTGAGGAAACAGATTGCGGTGCATCACGGCGGAATGCGGCGGTCGGTGAGCTACGATGTGTTCCGTTGACGGCTGGATGCAATAGCCAGATAGGAATTAAGTATTATCACTTCTTAGAAATATTAATTTGTTTATACGATGAAGTCAAAACATACTCCGATGCCGTTTATGTGCTCATCAGTGATGATAAACACTGAAATTTGGACTGGGAAGATGGAGATTTAATTTTTTTTAAAAAATATTTTAATATATGCATAATTTAGAATAAAGATAGATCAATTTTTAATTATAATTTTTTAAAAATCAAATTGATGAATAAAAATTGTAAATTTATAACTTCAAATTTAAAACATTCTGATCTCATCACAATGATGAGTATGAACATTTGAATGTACTCTCTCTTTTCCTGATAATAGCTAGTCATCTACTAAAGAAAATTATCATCCTATACGCAAGTCGTTTTGACTTATTTTCCAGAGCATTTTAGCATTCAATATAGTCATATAAATGTATGATGTTTGTTATATCAGCAAAAGTGGAACATAGATCAATGTTAAGATAATATTATTGTCATCATTAAGGAGAAATGTATATTTCGGGTCATAAATAACAAAACAAGTGTGTCTTGCTACAAAGAGATAGAGGGGAATCTTTGAATTGTGATGTTAAATTGTTTCTTTACTTGGCTCTGTTTGGATAGCACCCCACCCAAACCATGGTTTGGGGAAAATGCTACCCAAACAGCCTCTCCAAAAACCAAAACCATGGTTTTGGGTCAAAACCATGGTTTTGACTCCAAAACCATGGTTTTGGAAAAAGCAAAATTTTTTTGCTTTTGGAGAAAAAAGGGAGAGTGTGAGGGCCTATATGATATGTATCTTGTTATTTTTTTTATAAACATATTTTTTTATAAATATATTTAATCTTATATTTTATAAATATATATAGACATTAATTATTTATTAATTATATTATCTTATGTATTATTAATTATGTTGGTAAAAAACATATTATTAACAATTTTATTTCTTCAAATTAAAATATATCATAAAATCTATTTTTTCTGTAATTATCATATTAACTTATGTCTTTTTTTTAGTAATTTGTATATATAAAAAGTGCTTCTGATAACAACTATTCAAACACTCTCACTTCTCAGAATCACTTTTTTACAAAATCTATTCTTCACAGAATCTATTTTTTCCAGAATCTATTCTCCAGAAACACTTTTCTAAACCACGGTTTGGTTTCATCCAAACACACCCTTAGTTTCACTTTCGATTTTTTTTTTTTGGCAATGACTTTGAAAGCGATTTAGATAAGGGGTAGAATGACAGGTGGAGGTGATATGGAGAGACTCGAAGAGGATTAAAACTTCGCTGATTTTGAAGGTTGAACGGAGAGGATAAGTATAATTTTAAGGGGAAATTATAAAAAAAGACCTTAGAATTGCAAGAGACCCTTGACAACTTCACTTTGGGTTTTGACCACACTTTGGGTTTTGACAATATGAAGTTGTCAAAACCCAAAGTGAAGTTGTCAAGGGTCCTATCTGCGTTTTTGCAATTCCAAGGTCTTTTTTTACAATTTTTTCTAATTTTAATTTTGTTAATTTAGATTATTCGATATATTATCTTTTTCTTTTTGTCCCAACAAATTGGATATATTATATATCTACCTTTAATATTGTATTGCATCTGTTAATTAACTATTATTATTTGAACACAACCAAACTGGCCGATCTGATTGATAAAGTCCTGTCTAGATATGTGAAGGTGCGGACTACAGTTCTTGGAAGTTCAACTATTTGTAACCCAAAAAAAAAAAAGTTCAAAGCTCAACTTCGTAAAGAATTTCAAAAATAACTTTCTGAATAAAATTCAAATAAGTTGGAATCTCCAAGTGTTTTATTTTTATCTTTTAAATATATTTTTTTACACTTAAACTCCATAAACATAAAATAAGGATATCTAAGTGCTTAGTATTAAAAATTAGTATTCTTTCTGATTCTAAATATAAGATCTATCTTATTTTTTTGGAGAAAAAAATATAAGATTTATTTTAATTTGCAGTGCAATGTGTTTTATAAAGTAGATCTTATATTTATAACTATAGATAATATTTTTATAAAAAAAAATTTCAACTTCTCAAAATTTAAAGTATTAAATAAACAAGTTATACATAAAATTATTGAAAATTAAAGTTGACCTTTTGATGAAATGCAAGGGATCCTGACAAAATAAGCAATGTTGTGCCTCCCTTGTCTTGAACCGGTGAAAACATACTGCATCCATTTTTAATGTAAGAATTAGTTGACTAATTTAAATAGATTAAAAAAAACCAATTAATTTAGTTGTTTATTAATAAATAAATGTAGTCTTTTCTAAAATATTATTATTAATCAAATGTATTGGCTAGAATTACTATTATTACAGAAACTATTTTGAAAAAAATAGATAAATATAAGAGATAAATTATATTGAGGTCTTATATTTAGGATCAAATAAAGGTCAAACGAACTCTTATATTAAAAATCGAAGGAAGTACAATACAATGTAGTAATTACCAAAAAAAAATTTGTTTTTATGCATTGCTTTAATGATGTAATTAAAATTGTTAGCAAAATGAGGAATTGATATACTCCCTCTAGTCCTATACATAAACTTTAAATAAATAAATCATGTTTAATGAACTAACAGTTAGAATTAGTTAAAAACAATGAATATATCAAAAATATTTTCTTTTAAGTTTGTCTTTATTTATTAAGAGAGTAAATGAGAGAGGCCATACATAAAAAAAAATGATAAAAGAGAATATACGGGGATAATATTAATTAGAGAGAGGAAGTACTCAATACATTCAGCTAAGAACAAATTAAAAAAAATAATAAATACTCAAACAAACTTAAAAATGAAGCTTATATTTTGGACCAAACTCCTCTCCAAAAATAAAGGTTATATATGGGACCGGAGAGAGTATCATATATTATAGACTAAATACGAAAGGAAAAATCCCTTAAAAAGATACTTAAACAACCTAAATTTTTATTTGGGTTCTTAATTTGTCAAACTCCTAAACAAGTTACATGCTCCAAAGAAGGATTTTAAAATTTTATGAAATGACTCTAATATCCTTTTTATTAAAACCCAAAAGAGAAAAATTTTAAATTAACATGTTTTATCTCACAATTAACACATTTCAATTCTAAATTAATTCCAATAAAACAAATCTAAATTAACAAATTTTTGTCCTCATAACATGCTTGCAATAAGCCTTTGAATAAAACTTGATCATAATATAGTCTTGAGAATTAACATGTTCCACTTAATAGTTTAAATATTGTTTCAATTTTAAATTAACAACTTTCCATCTTCAAAACACACTTATAATAAATCTTTGAATAAAACTTTATCACAATACGACCTTAAAGATTAACATATTCCATTTCATAGTTATCATATTTCAGTTCTAAATAAACAACTTCTTATCAAAATAAAACCACTAGGATTAAGGAAGGAAGATTTAATGTAAAAACTAACTACAAGTAATGGTAAACACCAAGTTTTCTTCGTTCAGAACTTTTACGCAACACGTGAATTATAGAAAATCTTCATCTCTCTAAGTTTTTAATAAAAAGGGCATTAGAATCATTTTATAAAATTATAAAATTTCTTTTCAAGTCATGTGACCTGATTAGGATTGTAACAAAATGAGTAACCCAAATAAGAATTTGAGTTGTTTATGTGTCCTTTTAAGGATTTTTCCAAGATGAAAATTTTCTAGAATTTAAGTAAAACACTAAATAATAAATATTAGAAAATATGGCAAATATGGCAAATATTACCTCCGGTCTTAAATATAAGAGTTAGTTGATTAATTTGAGTAGCTTAAGAAAATAAGTTAAGTTATTTGTAATAAATAGGTATTATCTTTTCTAAAATATCCTTGCTAATCAAGTGTATTGGCTATAACTACCATTATTAAAAGGACTATCTTGGAAAAATATATATAAATATGATAGGCAAGGTGGATTATGATCTTATATTTAAGACCAAATAAAAGTCAAACGAGGTCTTATGTTAAGAATCGGAAATAGTATATGATACCATTATTATATAAGCAATAAAAAAGAGCAAAAAACTCATACTTAAAAAAAATTAAGGGAAAATCTCACAAAGAGACTCTTAAAAAATATATGACAAATAAGGGTATTGAATATACAAAATAGCAAATCAGACCAAAAGCTTCAATTTGGCATTTGAAAATGTTGTAAATTTACTTATATACCCTTTTCTCTTTTGTCTCTCTCCCCGTCCCTCTTCCTTGCAGTTCATTGTCTCATTCTAAGACCTTTTTTTCTTCAGCCATGGTCTCTGCCTCCCACTGTCGCTTCTTGAAACAACCTTCCTAAAAGAACTGATAAATTTAACTTTTCCAAAGTAACTTCAAGAAATAATTTTTTTTAAAAAAATTTAACCAAACCATATTAACAATAAATTCAAATCTATCAGAATCATATAAACCAACTTACTATAGAATAAGATTATCTGTGATAGAAAAGAGGAGCACCTAATCATATACCCTATCATGGATAAAAGAACTTTTCTTAACTCATTCAAAAACAAACCATGTTAGAAAGGATCAACATATTATATAACTCATAATTTGAAATAATAAGACTAATAAATTCATAGTAAACAAATCACATGCAATCCTAGATCTTTGGCCAACTACTAGCATACATACCACAACAGAACAAATAAAAGAACACAAAAACACAATAATGCATGAATCAATTAAACATAATTTGTCCTAAGTTGGCAATATACAAGAAACAACATAACTCATAAATCAAGGAGGCACTGCAAGTCGCTGTTGCAGCTTTACTCCTCTTGAGCCTTTCTTGACGTCCCTCCTCTAAAGCTTTCACCTGAAAAATGTTAAACAATGAGGGTGAGACAGCGTCTCAGCAACTAAATCCTTACCTATCACACATACTAGCATGGGCTAGCCAGGTGTTGGGTGGGATACATAAAGTTAATAATAGTCAATAGACTTTTATTTAACAGTTAAACTCACAATAACCACATAAGTCAAATATTTTTGCCAATCTCATGCAGCTGATGATTTCATAAGGGATAACATACTTATCATTTACCCAAAAGATATAAATATCAATGAAAATTTCATCTCATATGCAATTCATGAACCC